CACTCTATGCATTCTTGATCCTATCCCAATGGTGGAAGGCCCCAAAAAATGCCGAAAATCCTCTCATTCCGTCTCACTAACACGATCCGTCTCATCCCGATAGCCCCTGAGGCCCGAAACCCGAATCCCCTCGATACGCCTCACTACCTCAGAGATCAAGGGCCGACTATCCGGGTACTGAGCCGTGCAGTCAATGCCCAGCTGCAGCAGTTGTACCATTTCCTCCTCCTCCGAATTGTTGTTGTACCTCACGAGCTCGACATCAAAAACCTCCGAAGTCCACTCCTCCTTCACGACCGAATTGACCCATCTCGGCAAGTCAACACCTTCCTCGTTCAGTAGTGGGGCTTTCCCTGTGAGGAGCTCGAGAAGGAGCACGCCAAGGCTGTAAATGTCGGCCTTTTGAGAGACCCGTTGGGGCTCAGTGACCTCGGGGGCCCGGTATCCCGCGACCCTGTTTGGAGAAGATGGGGACCCGACAAGATTATTGAGCCCGAAGTCTGAGACACGGGCTTCGTGGGATTTGGTGAGGAGAATGTTTGAGGATTTGATGTTGCCGTGTGAGATGTTGGGTCCTTGTAAATGGAGGTATTCAATGCCTCGGGCTGCTCCAAGGGCAATGGCCGAACGGGTTTCCCAGTTTAATGGGGTTTTTCCAGCTCCTTTGTTACCTGAGAAAATTAAAAAAGAGAAAAACCCAAAAAAAAAAAAAAAAAAAGGTGAATTGGTTATTGGTTTGGTTAAATTTGATGGGTTTTGAGGGAGGGTACTGAAGGATGAGGTTTTTCATGGGGGAAATAGAAAATCACTTCCTAAGGACCCAATGTGCGTATTGATTCAGATCAAACGAGAAGATGGAAACAAGCTGAAAGTGTTCGAACTTCTAAATAGATTACATTGTCAATGCAACTCAATGAAGACGATTAGCGTTGTGCGAACAAAAGTAAGCCAGAGAAAAAGAAGTACCCATTTCTAGATTGCAAGAATTGGCAGCAATGGCAATCATACTAAGGACTCTAACCTAAGCAAGTCGACTTACTTAAATGTGTTACTTATATCAGACAACCGGCATACTTAAGGTGCTACTACAACCAAACTCTATCAATAATCATAAACCACATGCTCTTCTCATAAAAAGTTTCTGGTAAATGAACCAAAAAGCAAAAATCAAGCATAAAGCCATGTCCTACAAACTCTATGCACAAGAAATGACAACCAACTGAATCAGCCATATGTCCAGAATCATAATCAGGAATTTATCCCAAAATTAAGAATTGCACAATCAAGAAAAGCCTCTAAAAAATGCCACTCACCATGTAAAAGCGCAGAAAGGCTCCCCATCGGCATGTAATCATAAACCAGAAGCTTCTCCTCCCTGCTGTAGTAATAAGCCCTAAGAGGCACCAAATTCACATGATCCATAGCCCCAACAGCTTCAATTTTATCCCTATACTCTCTCTCGCCAATAGTCACATCCTTCAATCTCTTCACGGCCACCACCGTCCCTACCTCCAAGACGGCCTTGTAGGATGTCCCAAATGTGCCCTTACCCAAAACCTCGGCTGACGCTCTTAATAGCTCTTCTAGATCAAAAACCCTCGAGGCATTCCCGAAAAATATCAGCTTCTTGATATTGACTGCCGAATTTGTTCCAGGTTCACTCTTCGTGTTAACATTTGTGCCCATTGCACTCACAGCTGCAGCGCCCACCGAAAACCCATTGCTAACCCCAGTGTTATTTTCCTCGATGGACTTTTCATTAGGCTCATTTTCTTGAGTCTTGATTGCAGCTGCATCCACGGACCTCACGTTGTTTCCACTCCTTTTTCTGCACAGGATAAACAAAACCAATACCAGAAGAATCAAACCCACGACAGATCCGACTACAATTCCTGCAATTGCACCGCCGGACAATTTCTTTTTCTTTCTAGTATTGTCCCCCAAATTTATGTTCCCATTTGGAGCCTCAGCGGGAGACCCTGTGGGACTCGCATTGTCCGCACAGACACTATCGAGAGGCTCGCCGCAAAGGGAAGTGCCTAAAAACGCGTCCTTGGGTTTCCCCACAAGCCCTTTTGGCACAGACCCGTTTAAATTGTTGAAAGAAACATTAAACTGGTCGAGATTGGGTAGGTCAATATCAGGCAAAGGCCCACTAAACTGGTTTTCCTCCAAATAGAGCGTGCGCAAGCGGGTAAAGTTGTTGAGCCCGGGCGGGATTTGGCCGGAAAAGTTGTTTGAGGCAAGATTCAGCCTGACGAGAGAGGGGAGGGAGAGAATGAAGTCCGGTATGGTCCCGGTGAAGTGATTGCCCTGGAGATAGAGATTCCGGAGCTGAGATAGCTGGGAGAGATCGTCGGGAAGCGGGCCCGAGAGGTGGTTGAGGCGGAGGCTGAGCGTGCGGAGAGAGGTCAAGTTGGATATAGTGTTGGCCGGGAGCGCGCCGGAGAGGGAGGAGGCCGGGAGGCGGAGGACGGCGACGCGGTTGTTCAGGCACCCGACGCCCGGCCAGACGCAGGGGGTGGTGGAGGTGATGTTCCAGAGGAGGGGGCGGCCGCCGACGGACGAACGGAGGGCGAGGAGGGCGGCTCTGTCGGAGGTCAGATCTGAGGGTACGGCGGCAGGGAGGAGGGAGAAGAGGAGGAGGAGAAGAAGGAGCATTGTGTGTGTGTGTGTGTGTTGGGGGGTTTTGGAGTTTTTTTTTTTTTTTAAGAAAAAAAAATGGGGGAGTGAGGCTTAGTAAGGGCGGAGAATCATTTGGTTGGGTGGTTTTATGGCCTGAGTCACGGTATAATTGTGCTTGTCTTCTTCCTTTATTTTATATGTGTGAGAGAGAAAAAAAGTGTGCTCTACAGTGTTTATGTGTGTGAGAGAGAAAGAGTAGTTGTGTACACTCAGTGCAATGTTACTTTGAGTTGGTGTGTGCGGGGAGTAAATTGGGGGAGACCGATACAGGCTGGGGATAGGTATGCTCATAAATTAAAATTAACGGTGGATTAATCATAAATTTACAAATAAAAACACGCATCCTAAATGAGCAAAATAAATACTAAGAGCTTGTTTGGAAACACTTTTCAAATGGACTTTTGGATGCAAAAGTCCATTTGGATAAATATTTATGTTTGGTGCTAAGTTATGAATGGACTTATGGATAAGTTGTTTCTCTAAAAAGTCCATTATGTAGAAGTAAATGATAAAGACTTATGGAGAAGTACATTTTGGAGAAGTCCATATCTTAAATGGACTTTTTGAGAAGTGTTCCCAAACAAGCACTAAGAATTAATTTTAGCCACATGATCTGATCATCCGACGTGAAAAGTATACGTTTAGAGTGTAAGACGTTCAACTTTTGTTAGAACACGATTAGAATGATATATGTTACAACATCAGAAAAGTTGAAAATAGCGGAAACACAACAAAATTAAAAAAACTCTTCGGGGAGCGTCACACTACCACTCAGAGTTATTTCATTGATAACTCGATTGTGCACATGTGTAGTTTTGAACTTACAGCAACTAGAACTTCCTTCTAGCCAAACCAACAACTATACTCGAATCTACCAACTACTTCCCTGGCAACCTCCCGTGGACTTAAAACACTCACGATCCCTCGAGAATAACTACGTACTGATAACAGAAGTGTTAGAATGAAAAGAAACAAGAAAATCTCTCAAAGATCAGTTTCAGTGCTCAGACGTTTAATAACATCAGACCACTAAAACTGGAAACAAAAACAAAGAAACTGCAAAAAGTTCGAACTCTCAATTAAAGCTCGAATGCCAGGAATAACAAGAGTTTCAACAGCCTTCAATTGATCTTCAAATAAAGTTTCAAATAGGGTTTATATAGCATCTTTAGGCGTGTACTTCTTCTCCAACTTCTTTCCATCTTCCATGATCTCATTGATCTTCTTCCAAAAAATGTAGTAACATGGAAAGTGAATATGTCCTTTGATCTCCCCTCAACTCGTGCACATTCCTTTCCATCTGGCAGTGCATGACGATATCCTACACAATATTACCGTAATAAGATCATGCAAATTCAATAACCAAATGAATAGGAAACTCGCATAGATATATAAGTAAATAAAAGAACTTCCCTTTTATAAATTTCATATGCTTGCAAGAGCATATCTTCAATATATACATTTTTTAACTCATGCCAAAAAATATATCTTTCACAACAAATTATTTTAATAGAAAAATTGAGAATCACGGCTTCATAAAAAAATTGAGACTCACGACCTGTAACCCCCATTATTTTAATAGAAAAATACCGAATTATTTTTTAAAAAATCAGAGTTAATTTTCAAAAATTCAATTTAAAAAATTTATTTAACGAGCACTACTCAAAAATTCACATAACAACAGTTAAGTCCACACTTAACCAAACGGGAAATCAACCATCCCGAACAACTATCTCATGCCATAATAAAATTCTAACACAAGAATATCCAAATTCCCAATTCATAATTCAAAATAATAATCCAAAAAATAAACATGGTTCAATCTCCAGAAAACAATAGCAAACATGCTGACAATTAGAAAAAAAAAAAAAAACAATTAAGTAAGCGGAAGCATGTAAAACAGTTCAATAGCAAATATATGACCCGTCTCGCTTGTCTTTCGCTGCAGCCAGCAACTCAACCTGAAAAGAAAGATAATAGTGGGGGTGAGTGAACACCTGCTCACCGAGGGCATACCATGAACACAAATCAACTATTTTACCCCCTAATGTAGCCCTACGCTCATGTGATCACATCTAACTTGTCGATGCACCAACGACAGGAGCAAACCGTCGATACACCATCGCGAGTAAGCTCTCTAAAGGCTAGAGTTAGGAGAGGTTCCAACAACCGGGATAATCCTCTCATAGACAACCGGTTCACATGCATTGATTTTCAAGCCAAGCATTTATAGAAATTAACATACATGGTATGCTTTATCAACACCCACCTGGAAATAAAGTCGGCGATAATACACAATTTGTCGGTCGTAGGTAGAAGTATCATCTCCTCAAACACCTACATTTAATTAAGATAATTTCATAAATACATTATTTTGACCCTTAGAAATAATCACGAGAATTCACACTTAGTCGAATATTATCGCCTAAGTAGTTTGTAAAATTTTGTGGAATTTGGAACTCTCAAAGGATCGAAACAATACTCGAAACAATGAGGTTAAAATTAAGGCTCGACTCAAAAACGGGTCGAACGGCTCAAAGACGGACAAGTGGAAATATAAAAATCAAGTTGCCAGAAAAATGGATAACTTTATGTCCGCAGCGATTTTATTTGAATATATCATTTGGTAGGAAACTCGAATCAAAGTGATTCTTTCTCCAAAACAATTTAGAGACACAGAACTAAAATTTTCATGAAGATGTTGAGTGCATTCGGGCAAGTTAAAGGGCTGAAAACAAATCAAATTTACACAATAAACCTGCTGTCAAATTTTTAGAGAAACTGGTTGCACGACGTTCGAATTTTGAATATATCTTTTTGTAAATAAATGATACTTGAATGAATCTTATGTCATCTGAAACCTAAGAGATAAAACTACAAATCATATGAAGACATCAAGATTCTCAAGTCACTCGAAATAGGCCATAATTAGCAAAACTGACAGACTCAAACTTCCGCGATAAATACGAAAAACTGACTGCGCAATGATCAATATTTTGACATAATTCTCAATATAAAAATGATAAATACTCGATTCTTTTTCCACAAGAAATATAACCCATTAAAATACAATTTGTACAAAGACTTCAGAAAGAGACGGTAAAGTTACATTATTAAAAAACAACAAATAAAACAGACTACATGTAGTATCGGAAATCCAGAAAAACTGGACGCGCAACCATCGAATTTTAGCAATACCTTTCATGACAAAATTGATAACTACCTGATTCTTGTTTCAGTGAAAACACAAGAGACTGAAATACAAATCGGTAGAAGAGTTCGAAAACGTTTGGCTGGGTTTCAGAGGTCAAAACAATGACCAAACATAAATCAGCGAAATGATTCGAAACAAGATTTATCAAAAATCTCAACAGCACATGATTTCACCAATTGTTCCCACAATCAAAGGCAATAAAAGGGCTTCGACAATGATAAACGAACGTCAACACCACAATGGTATTGAAGTTAAACCATGATTCAAAATAACACGACTTCAATAACAAGAAGACACTTAGAGAGTTCCACTTTCCACAATGATTTCTCAAAAGCAACAAACGAGTAGAATCAAATTATTCCAACCGAAATCAACAAATATCGATCCAACCAACGAAATAAATCATTGATAATTAACATGAGCATATAATGATGAAGAAGGTTCGGTCAGTTACCTTCCTTCGGGAAATACACGCTCGTTGGAAGTCAAACTAAATGAACGGATGGACGAACGAACCGAAAATGTAACCTCGACCACGTCTTGGACTCGGATTGCTCGACGAACATCCCCCGGAGATGGCCGACAAGTCCCAGGCCGCTGCCCGGTAAACAGACGTGGAAAACGGGTTGTTAAGGGATTTTTCGGGCGAGGTTGTCGCTCGTAAAAAGAGACCAGTTGGGTGCTCTCGGGCTATCCCAACTCGTTGTTTCTGGCACGTGGTTACAAACTGGGAACCTCCAACACACCAACTCGATGATGGCGTCTTGCTGGACGTGGACGGGTGCTGCTGCTATAACTTCTGCACGGTGCAGACGACGACCTCTGTAACAACCCGATGGTAAGGGTTGTTTGAACAAAGGCTAAGGACGGAGGATCATTGTCTCACGGGTTGACACCAAATATGGCCGCGGTTGAAGGTTTCGATGTCGGCACGCGGCTTGTTGCTCGTCGGAGGAGGGCCTGCCATGGCTGTCGCCGAGAAAACAAGTGGAGTGAGATGACGACTGTTGTGATTTTCTCGTGTGGTCTCCGCTGGCCTGTGGTCGGTGCCGCTGCTCCTTCCCGATGGTTACTTGCTTGACAAAGTGGACTGCGGTGGTGCTTCTACCGAGAAGATATTCTCACCGAAAAGTATTGTGTTTGGTGGCGATGAGGGCTTGAGACTGAATTACTGACGTCAAATTTAAGGAGTCACTGGAAGCTCGAAGATGGAGGGTGGTGAACGAACTACAAATGAGAGAGGAGAGAGATTTGTTGTGGCGATTTGCTGTCGGATGGATATGGTGAGGAGATGAAGAGTTGAAAGTATGAATGATGTACTGTTACGATATTTATGATCACCATGTACGTTTAGGGAGGTAATTCAGGTAATTATTATTGGAGTCTCAATTGTAATTTGGGCTAGGAAAAGGGAGCGTAATAATATATGTTAGTGGTGCCCATAATATTATCTAAGTAATTGGAGGAGTGGGCCAGACCCACAGTTAGTCGATTACTTAAGAAGCCATACTCCTAATCTCCTAAGGGTCCATATTGTAGCTCTATATATACATCATTAGGCTCATGACAAAGAGAATAAGAGATCATAATTCTCCTATGTGATATATTCATATACACGCACGCCCCTAGTCTCACTCTCAGTTTTCTGTTCGAGTTGTATCTTCTTCTTGTTGGTCCACCGATACAAGTTGAAGAGGTGTTCGAGTTATACAGTAGAATATTCTGAGGTATTTGAGACATATATTCATCAACCCCAGAGATC